TGGACTGCGTGTGCTCATGGTGCTGCTGTTAAAACTGAAAGATAAAATGTGCGGCGGTGATTGAAATTCTATGTGATCCTCTTGAAAATTTGAATACAAGAGGTACAGCACAGTCTTTTTTGCATGATGTCTGTGATGTCACGTTTATCTGCTACCTTTACATTTGGGTTGCTCCACTTGAGGAAGTCAATCTTACACAGCAGCGTATGCAGACTAAATGCTTATCTCTTGACAACAGTGTGACCAACCGAGATGCCTTAAGATTTTCTCTGCATGAGAAGCGCTGTCACTTTGTGGAATATGCTATTGAAAAGGCTTTTTTTTTAAATCAGACGAATGTGGAATTTCGTCAGAGATGAAATGAAGGTTTGAAAAGAGAATGGTGGGAGATTAATAGATGCTGGACTTTCTTTGCGAGAAGAAAAAATAGCAGGGAGATTATGGAGTGTATCGATCACTTCCATTCTGAATTCCAGATCAGATCATCAGCGATCAAGGAAGTTGCAAATATGTTTACAATCCAAGAGTCTACAATCAGCAAGTGAAGAAGAGTTATTGGTGTCCGTTACAAAATTAACCTTTTTCTATTGATGAAATTTTACATGAAATACCAAGACACCGAATGGCAGTTGATAATGAATTTCCAATTCATGGACTGGTAGTAGGCCTATTTGATGTTTTGAAAGTCATAGCTGAATGGGACTTGTTAGAATCTCTTCCATACTCTCGCTAAGCCTTCGATTTTTTCTTGTTGCTTCGTGTGAGCGGAGCGTTTCAAAACTCAGGTTTATCAAGAACTACTTACGATACATCATGGGACAGTCGAGGCCTTGTGATGTGGCTCTACTATAAATTGAAAGTGATGCGGTGAAAGATATTGATTATGATCAAGTAATTGACAGGTTTTTAGCTTTAAAGCCCAGGAAATTAAACTTTTAAATTAAATTTATTTTAAAGTAACTATAACTTAACGTTGTTACAGTATTAAATACATATACCACCCGACCATCAATTAATTTGTTTTTATTTTTGTTGCGCCCTGATATTGGCGCCAGGGCCGATTTTCCCCCTCACCCCCTCTTTAGCATGGCCTTAAATATATAATGGTTTAGGGGCCTCGGTGCAGTACTGTGTCCAGGGCCTCCGTTGCTGTAAAGGCGTCCCTGCCAGGTCCAAATTTGCTGACCCCAATGCACCGCTACATTATATTGTATGTTCATACTTTTAAAAGTCCTTTCATCACTTATAAGGTATGCTTAATTTTCTTCAACTGAATATCTTCATTAAATAATAATGAAATAGTAAAGATTTTCAAGAAATGAATTTTCTCTTTAATACATTTTTTTTCGTGTTTTTTTTTTGTTGTTGTTTGTGTGTGTGTGTGTGTGGCTTTTTTTTGGGGTGGGGGTGGTGTTAAATCAGCAACAGAAAACTGGAAATCCAATTAACTTTGTATATTCTTAAATTTATACTTAAATGAATCTTTCAAAACAAATATGGTACCTTAATAAACCATTCAATACAAAAAAGAATCAGAAAGCAACACATAGAAACTGTTTTACAGTTCACAAATGGTAATATTTATTACTTTCATGACTTGTAACTCATTCTTAGAAATAAATTACTCCCGAAGGAACATGAGAACCTACAAATACACCTTCAATTAAACATAAAGGTGACCTGGACCATTTCAAAGTCAAACTGTTCAAAGTCCAAGACCGCATGTAATATATCCACGCCCACCTGTTTTACCGCAAAGTCAACTTGTTAAATCACCTGTCAAACAACTTGGTATACGTCAAAGTCCACCAATTAAGTTAGCTGGATTACCTCCAATTCGACAAAGTAATTCAATTGGTAAATCTCCAATTCCATCTTTAAAGTCAATACCTCCGATTTCACCTGTTAACTCACTTGGTAAACCTCCAGTTTCACTAAATAAGTAAATTGGCTTACTTCCAAGTCCACCTGTTAAATCACTTGTCAAACGACTTGGTGTAGCTCCAAGTCCACCGAGAGCGCGAGCAAAGAGCTTTGCATTGTTAGTATCTGAAAGTAAAGGTTTTTTTTTTTTTTTTTTTTTTTGGTCGTTTTATAAAAGTGTTGTTGAAGGTTTTTTTCCAGACAGTCCAGTGTGTTGTTGAAGGTCCATCTGTATACGCCCCACCTGTTAAATCACTTGTCAAACGACTTGGTGTAGCTCCAAGTCCACCGAGAGCGCGAGCAAAGAGCTTTGCATTGTTAGTATCTGAAAGTAAAGGTTTTTTTTTTTTTTTTTTTTTTTTTTGGTCGTATTATAAAAGTGTTGTTGAAGGTCTTTTCACAGACAGTCCAGTGTGTTGTTGAAGGTCCATCTGTATACGCCCCATCTGTATTTCAATTGTCACATCATCAAGGTTACAATCAAACGGATCTTGGAACAGAAGAATGTTACATTCTCAATTCTGTCATGATCTGAAAATTTCTCCAAGTGATACTTCTCTAAGTCACGAATAATTTTATTTCCAAACATGGAGGTTGACATCTGACGTAATTGTTAGCGCAAAACTCGTTGAAGCAGTGAACATGAGAAAAGGTGTCTCCTTCCAGTTGTGCTTCAAAAAATGACAGCTTTCTCCGAAATCCTTGGGCATTCTGTAGCGATCAAAGATGATGTTATCTCATCCTTTCACAGACGTTTCACGTTCACTTCGTTCACAAAATGTGGGGATGCATTCCATGAAAAAAAAATCATAGCTAAAAAATTACTCCAGCTAGAAAGTTGATTCTGGTTTCATTTGTTGTGTTTCAAATTATTTCTTCACAACTTTAATATAGATATATATATTTTTTTTGGAAAAATTAAATTTTATTAAAAAAATTCAGTCAAATATTCGTTAAAGTCTATTATAAAAAAAAAATTATTGGGGACACATTAACAGAATAATAGATGGTATTGAAGTTACCGTATTTTCCGGTGTATAAGACGACCTTTTAACCCATGAAAATCTATTCAAAAGTTGAGGGGCGTCTTATACGCCGGTTGTCGTCTTATACGTCGGGGTCGTCTTATACGCCAGGGGTCGTCTTATACGCCCAGTCGTCTTATATGCAGGAAAATACGGTATTAATTTTAATTTAAAAGTAAATTCACATAAAATTGCTTTTTAGCTTGACACTGACTCCCCCCCCCCCAAACACCAACAAATGACGCCCCCAAAGTGCCACTCGGTGATGAGACCCCCTAGAGCCATAAAAAAACTAACCTCTGGATTTGTTGTCTAAACAAAAGCGTTGTCATTGTGTTTTTAAAAGACATTGACATAGCACTATTGTTTTCCTAACATTTAACTTTTCAGCACGTGTGAAGATGATTTATAATATATCTTTTAATGCATTTTATCAGCAAGTTTTTTTTGCTTTAAAAGCCAAGTTAGCTTTTTAAACTGAATTAAAATTAGATAAACGATTAACAAAAATGAAAAAAAAAATAAAAAAAATAAACGAATGAATAAATACATGAAAAAATGAATAAATACAAAGCGTAAAACTGTGTGCTAAAAAGTGCTAGGCTGTGATGACGTGCTGCATCAGGCAATACTCTAATAAATACACACACACAAACCGTGATTAAAGTAAGGATTAAAATAGTTATTTTTTTTTGTATTCAAATAAAACTCAAAGGTTAAAAGAACAAAGTATAAAAATCTTCTTTCAAACTACTTCCTCTAGCCTCTAACAAAACACTGTACACTGTGCTCCGTTCATTATTATTACTATTAAAAGAAGTACCAAGAGAAAGGCAGGCGAGTTTAAAAAAAGATAAAATCTACCATCTGTTCCGTCTAATGCACTCGCATGTTCCAATTTTAGAATAATCGCCCGTACAGATCACAAGATTAATTCTGTAGAGATCATTTCTGATATCCAATTTCTCATCAACATGCTATATCAGCTTATTGTTTTTTGACTCATGGGGTTTTGACATATCATTTATCAAAACTTAATCAATAAAGCAAAAAAAAATTATAATAAGTGCAATAAATCACCAAATAATATTAAGAACCATGAGTCACACATCAATTTTATAAACCACCCATCAATTTTATGAACCATACAACAATTTTATGAACCACCCATCAATTTTATGAACCACCCATCACATTTATGAACCACCCGGTCATTGTTATGAACCACCCATTAATTTTATGAACCACCCATCAATTTTATGAACCACCCATCAATTTTATGAACCACCCATCAATTTTATGAGCCACCCATCACATTTATGAACAACCCATCAATATTATGAACCACCCATCAATTTTATGAGCCAGCCATCCATTTTATGAACAACCCATTAATTTTATGAACCACCCATCAATTTTATGAGCCAGCCAACCATTTTATGAACCATGAACTACCCATAAATGTGATGAACCAGCCATCAATAAAACATTAACACTTTTATGAATCACCCATCAATTCGATTGCTCTATCTCGATATGGTCCAGCCAAGCAACATGACAACACACCACCAGCTGTACTTCCTTACAAGAGGGGGGGGGGCGCACGTCAAATCTAATCCCCCCACCCCCCATGTGTTCTTTGTCTCTAACTGTAAATATTAAACAGTGGATATGTTATTTGAAAAATGATTCCCTTTAACACAGGGGTTCTTAAACAGGGATGCACGAACCCACTTGGGTTCAGGGGGCTGTGTCAGGGGGCACGGAAGAGGTTAACATATGATTTATTTTAATTTTTATCAGAGGTTGTTTTTTTTTAATCGTATGGGTGCGTAAAATATATTGAAATCAAGTGAGGGGGGGATGGGAGGAGTGGGTGCGACGCAGCCATAGGTTTACAGCACATATTCGAACCTCACAAATCTAAAACTAGATTAATATTGCTCTAGCATGGAGTGACGACCCTTCACACCTATTTGTTCTCGACGTGCCACCTGACAAGAAACGAGTACCTCTTGTTACATCTCTACTGGTATAAATAAGAGTGAGTTTATGTCGAACTTGACATTGCCTTCTTCAGCTATTTCTCTCCGGAACGATTGCAGTAAGAAATATCTAGAGAAAATGGTAAGTTCTTGCTCGTTTGTGTTTGTAAAAATAGTTGAGGGGATATGAAATTGACAACTGTCATGGACAACTGTCATGGACAACTGTCATGGACAACTGTCATGGACAACTGTCATGGACAACTGTCATGGACAATTGACCATTTAAAAAGCAATGTCAAATACTTGTACGTATTTAATTTGGAACTTTGAGATGAGAGCGTTTGAAATTTTAAACACTTGTTATCAAATCGTATTGGAAACTTTAAGCTCCGCGTCTGTGGGACTGCTACAAGAGAGCTTTAAGCTCCACTTCTCTGTGGCTGCTACAAGAGTGCTTTATTTAAGCTCCAGGTCTCTGTGACTGCTACAAGAGAGCTATAAGCTCCACGTCACTGTGACTGCTACAAGTGAGCTTTAAGCTCCGCGTCTTTGTGACTTCTACCAGAGAACTTACATTAATATTCTTACTTTTATTTAAATAGATTTTTATTCATCATACCACTTATCATTTAAACTGTTTGTTACCTAGCAGTAAGCTTATAAACAATGTTATAGTTACTGATATCTTACAGTAAGCTGAGCTACAATATTATATTAGTGATATCTTGCAGTAGGCCGATACAAATGTTATGGTTACTGATTATTTACAGCTAGCTAATAAACAATGTTATGGTTACTGATATCTTCCACCTAGCTGATAATCAATGTTATTGTTACTGATATATTGGAGTAAGCTGCTTCTTGCGCACAGACGAAATAAATTCAACTTGGAATCTTGACAAAAGTTTGATTTCATAAATAAATGAAACTAGTTGTAGCCCGCCAAACATTGGCGGTAGCAGTGCGTGAACTTCCCATCTACTAAAGTTACTTGACAAAACGAGAACTCAAGTTTCGCACATTTGAGAATGCGAATGTTGCTTCACCCCTTCCCCCACCCCCCTTTTTCATGAGACGTCACTGCACACTTTTTATTTCAATCCGACCCGCGGATTAGCATATGCCGCGAGCTGGCTGGAAAGCGAGGGTGGTGCAGGAGGGGGCGGCGGTAGCTCGACCACAGTGCGCATATCTCGAGACCAACGATGGGCAGGCAAAGGAAGGGAGGGGATGATTTGCATGCGTCTTGCTTGCTCTGGCGTATCTATATATAGCCTGCGTGGTCGTCTTGGTCTTGTTGTGCCGTAGTTTCTGGCGAATTATATATATATAGATGAATGCATTCGCCCACAATTTACCTTAATTGCCGTGGGATCAACGCTTGGTTTATTGTAGCCCATAATATTATTGGCAACAAAAACCAGTGAAAAGATATTCTTAAATACTTTGCGAAGCCCTTAAACTCAATGCCCCAAAGATTTACACTTTCAAACATTCAAATGGAGGCGAAGAAATAGAAAACATTAATGTAAAATAAATATACAAATTATTGCAAGAAAAAGGACATTATAGAGAAACGAATGACCGTATTGATCGGCGGATAAAACGCACTTTTTCTCCCTGAAAAGAGAGGGCAAATGATGTGTGTGTGTCATACGCCGATATAATGGTAAGGACCCATTAGTACATTACCACATAGCAACGCGAATGGTGAGTGTTATACGCCGATAAATACGGTATTTTTCTACGTAGTAAAATATGGAATGTGAACTCTTGAATCAAAATACAGGGCTCTAAGGGAATAACGTTTCGGCCAAGAGCCAGCCAAGCCGACGGGACAGAGGAAAAAAAAACACCTCAAGAAAGAGGCACACGTTTTTGAAAGATTTCGACTAGATGAGACATGAAATTTTTATTGTTATCATCATTTTATGCAACATACTCTCAGAAATCAACGGGCTAAAAACTATTGCAAATATGAATTCGTTCGGACGCTTCCTCCATACCAAGTTAAAGTAACTTTATTGAGGTAATTTATTTCTGTTTCCTGAAAGGAAATATGAAAAAGTTTAATCTATATCTCTATTATAGATATTCATTACAAGATTATTTTTTTTGGGACAAATCTAACGGAGTTAAAAGATGGATAATTGATAGCACTACGCTAAAAACAACTCATAACGTCACTAATCTCTGGTAGAAAGAGGTCTTCGCCGAATGCAGGTGACTTTCCAGATTCAGACACTCACGTCGCAATAAAAAAAAAATGCATGCTAATCATTGCTGTTTTCATTAGAGAAAACAGACAGACAAACAAACCAACATAACTAAGAAGTCTTTAACGTATTCAAGCATTTAATTTAATACTCTAAAATACCGTTTGCTCACGGCACCGAGCAACAACGTAATTTGTTGGCGACAGCAGCTGGTAATTCTTTTTGAATGTTACAACAAAGGCTCGCCATTTTCTCTTACCGTCTTGCGCGTAGGTGCAAATATATTACCTCTATCTTATATCTATCAGTGGCATTTAATTTGATTCTGACAGGTAAACAGTAGAATATCTTTCTTATTTTTTAAAAATTATATACATGCGTATGCCTGCTAATTAGTCCAGCCCCCCCCCCCGGTCCGCTCTAAACCTTCCCTAGCCACTCAACCCCCATTAGCTATCTTACCGCCCCCCCCCCCCTTCCTCGAATTGTCCACTTAGGAATAGCTGGTTTGCAACAAATTACCATTTATGATAATAAATGTATCCACGTTTCACGGGATATAAAGCTGTTTTGTTCATCGACTTCAGATACCTCTGTAATGTACAAATGGAATTCAATAATTTGTAAATGTTAGTATTTTTATAAAAGAAAATAGTAAAGGGGGGTGTCTTGTTCGAAGATTGACGTCATTTACTTGAAATTAATTGATGAAACATTGAGATATTTTTATCTTCAAATGATAGAAAAATAAATTTTATTTATTGACAGATGAGCGCATCGTTTGTTTTCATCTTGGTGTTTGTAACATGGTCTGCAGGGATGCCAGTAAATAATGAAGGTAACTTACTAACGTCTTTCTAATGTGTTCCTTTCAAAAACAGTGAGCACAGTGAGAAAACAGTGCGTACAGTGAGCAAACTGTGCGTACAGGGAGAACTCAGTGCGTACAGTGAGAACACAGTGCGTACAAAGAGAACACAGTGCGTACAGGGAGAACACAGTGCGTACAGTGAGAATACAGTGCGTACAGTGAGAACACAGTGCGTACAGTGAGAACACAGTGCATAGAGGGAGCACACAGTGCGTACAGTGAGAACACAGTGCGTACAATGATAACACAGTGCGTACAATGAGAACACAGTGCGTACAGTGAGAAGGAAATCGAAGCTTTCCACCTTCTTTCTAAGCTTTATTTCAGACATTAATAAAAAGCCGTTCGTACGGAAGGAAGGGTGTGGGGGGGGGGGGGGGGGGGGGAGGTTTGACGTCGCTATGCCGGCACAGCGCTCTTTGGTTGGAACTTGTAACAACAGACTTGGAACAAATGACTTTTAAAAACAGACTAATCACAACATCACAGATTTTTAAAATAGACTGCTCACAGCAGACTGGTAACAGCATACTTGTAACAACTGACTTTTAAAAACACACTTTTAAAAACAGACTTGTAACAATAAACTTGTAACAAAAGACTTGTAATAATAGACGTGTAACAATAGCTCTCACTGAAACTTTTAAACTTACACAATTTTTAAGCGTACGAATATGTTAAAAAAAGTTCTGATAACTTAACAGTCGAATTTTGCATGAGACTTAAAGAAACAATATTATATGCAAATTATATAATAACATTTTTTAATAAGTAGCTCTACAAACAAACCCATAAATATTTGACATTTGACGTCATTTGTACAAGTCTGATCAAGGAAATTCAACGTGACGTATTAGTTTGTATTTAAAACAATCAAATTTTACGTAAGATTTTCTGCCTAGACATGTAACATGTAGGTCAACGTTTGTTCAGACCTGTTAAAAATCAATTGAAACACAATCATAACAACCCCCCAAAACTATTCGGTTTGTATTACTTGTAGTTTTATGACAGATTTCTGCTATTACTAAATATAAACACCTTTACTTTCAGACACTAACAAGGAAAGGAACTTCACTCGCAGATTCAAGGAGATTAAATTGAAAAGGTCACCATTTGTTGGTTTACCAGTAGACAGGCCTAGAGTGAGTCTCGATTTACCAGTAGATTGGTCTGACTTTCGACGTGGAGGTTTAACAAAAGCGGGGCTTGGAGCTGTATTCCAAAGATTGCCAGTTAGTGGATTTAAAGGTTTAAACAATGGTGGACTCGTTGATGCACTTAAGATTTCACCAGCAATTGGTGCTGTAGGAACACTTAGCAGTTTATCAGACGGTGGGCTTGGAGAATCTCTTAAAAGATTACCAGCAGTAGGACTTGAAATCTCACCAGTAAATCAGATTGTAGAAACACTTGAAAATCTATCAGAAGGTGGACTTGGAGAAACATTTGAAAATCTATCAGAAGTTGGACTTGTAGAAACACTTGAAAATCTATCAGAAGGTGGACTTGTAGAAACACTTGAAAATCTATCAGAAGGTGGACTTGTAGAAAAAATTGAAAATCTATCAGAAGGTGGACTTGTAGAAAAAATTGAAAATCTATCAGAAGGTGGACTTGGAGAAACACTTGAAAATCTATCAGAAGGTGGACTTGTAGAAAAAATTGAAAATCTATCAGAAGGTGGACTTGGAGAAACACTTGAAAATATATCAGAAGGTGAACTTGTAGACAAAATTGAAAATCTATCAGAAGGTGGACTTGGAGAAACACTTGAAAATCTATCAGAAGGTGGACTTGTAGAAACAAATGAAAATCTATCAGAAGGTGGACTTGGAGAAATACTTGAAATTTACAAATAGATAAATAAACAACAAAACTGAAGATTACCTTTGAGAACCATGTAAATTGTCTGTGATCTATTATTTTGTTTGTTTTTTATAAAAGTGATGGAATGCGATAAAGTTTGTTAATTAGATTAATGAGCCAGAAACAATTTGTGTACATAAAACAGTACAAGTTAATCTTTAATTTTGATTACACAAAATACAAATTAAAATTTTTTGGCTCATGCCTTCATCAGTACAAGGAAATAACATTCCTATAAATTCTAAATTAAATTGACATAATAAAAGTTCATCATATATATACATAACAAATTAAAAGAAAGAATAAGAGTGGGCGCGAATCCCTAGCAAATACTAGCTCATAATATGTTAATTGTAGTGCTAATTGTATCTCATATCTCAATAGTAGTGCTAATTGTAGCACATATCTTAATTGTAGTGGGAAACAACAATACAATAAATAATATTTAAACTGAATAGTCATTCTAATCCAAATAAATTTATTAGTATTTGATTGGGAAATACGGGCCGGCTTTTCCCTATATGTGTATCAAGTTTCTTCATGACTTCGCAATAATCATTAGAAATTTCACAGTCCGTGTTCGTGTACTTGCACGCCCCGAAGGACTCACTATACGAAATAAATCAGCCTTGCTTGGACTTATCTCTTTGGCAGCAGAAAGAAGTCACCTTGGATGCGGGTAATGGCGACAGAGTTCAGATATCTTTTCTTTGTGTAAATGCAGCTCGCCGTGTACCGCCGACTGCAGCACCGTCATGGGCATTATCACGGGTTCTTGCGGGCCGGTTACGGACCCATGACCCGTTTGTGTATGCCTGCACTTTGTCTTCAACGCTTTGCTACACTTTCACAGTTACACTCAACTGTTAAGTTTGGCCTCGTTGTCTAGAGACTTAGACCAAATGTACCCCAGCGGTATAACGTTGCTTATTATAATAACAGGCCGTAAGGTCTTTTAAATCAAATGATGTATGAGTCCACTTAAAAATTGCTAAAGAAAGTCGATGTCTTTGGTAGAAATACATCACGCACGGTTCATAGAACCGCCAGTTTATTTACACACTAGAATTACTAGTAGGTGAGCAATGAGTAAAAAGTACCAAAGTATTTCAGTTGATACGTGGATGATGCGGTCTCACAAATGCCGGCCTAAGAGACAACTGTCATTTAAATGTAGGAAGGTGGGAACACGCGTTACAATAATGTAATCGTACCACTAAGTTCAAAGATGACAGTTCACTATTGGTAAGTTCAAAGATCACGGTTTACTCTTGGTAAGTTCAAAGATCACAGTTCACTATAGCTAAGTTCAAAGATCACAGTTCACTATTGGTAAGTTCAAAGATCACAGTTCACGACTGCTCAGTTCAACGATCAGAGTTCACTATTGCTAAGTTCAAAGATGATTTATTTATTTATTTATTTAGGCATTTTAATATAGCTCTTACCTTAAAGCTCTAAGCGCTTTACAATTTTTTAAAAAAAAGTCAACTAAGTAAAATAAAATAAAATAAAAACGAAAAACCAGAGACACTAGGATAGTAACTACTATATGTAAGTAACACACCTACTCTGACATGGCGTGGGAGCTTATTTCTTATGCTGTGGGTTATGTCAGTAGTATGGTTACTTGTGTTATGTTGATATTTCAGGATGCCGACTAAGGCTTCTTCATTCTTCCACTTATAATCCGGGCACGCAAATAAGAATACTGAATCCTGGTTAAACTTACAGTACTTTATTGAACACACTTTATATTGATAATATTAATAAATAATCCTTGCATGAATGTAATTTCACATATATATCTATAGTATTCCATCATTAAGAAAGACACGTCCTCACACTAAACTGTCAACTGTCTAATCACACAGCTCTCACGCTACTGACTCTACTGCTCTGCGCTCAGCTCTCTACTATCTCAGTCAACTCATACTTTATTACCAGCAAAGCGTGGAAAACAACCGCTCTGACAAAAACATAATTTTACTCTCCAAAAACGTGGAGTTCACATTTGCATCTCAAAATACATGGTCAACACAATTCACTGTTCACTCATGCTACCTCTCTGTTTTCATGTGAAAACATAGTCCGTTACATGCCCCACCCATCTGAAAAAATTTTGTGCAACAAAATTTTTGGCATTATATGTTGAAATAATGATAATGTCTCTTAGAAAATTTCAATCCCACATCTAACAATCAAATCAGTGTAACAACATTAACATTTCATCATTATGAAATACAGAGTCTTTTACTGTTAATATCACACTTAATAGTGAATAATTTACCCTGGCAAAAAATTAAAAAATCACCAATGACAACCTCTTAAAATCTTTATGTATGATAATGTGAAGTGACATTAACATCTTAATGAATAATAAACACTGCAAAATGAATGTAACAATCTTAAATTTTGCATTAGAAAATTTACAATTGGTTAAAATCTGATATTCATTTACAAAAATTGATATGTACAAGTGTCTTATCAAAAAACTGAGTGAACGTATGTGTGTATATTCATTTAGAATGTCTGACTAATGTGTCTTAAGTCAGTGTCTTTGTCATTGTCTGCATGTTCAATGTGTCTGGAAAGGAAATCAGCTACTGTATTGTCTTTTCCTTTTATTGTCCTTATCTCATACTGATAATCTAATAGTATCAACGACCATCTGTTTATTTTACTATTCGCTATTTTCTTTCTATTTAGTGCCATTAATGGCTTGTGATCAGTCAATAATGTAAATTTTCTGCCTAATAGATATTTCTGTAGTTTGGTAAGTGCCCACACAATTGCTAAGCATTCTTTTTCAATAGTTGAGTAGTTAATTTCAGTTCTGCTTAGTGCTCTACTTAAATAGGTAATTGGTCTTAATTTATGATTGTATTCTTGCATAAGGCAAGCTCCTAATCCAATGTTGGAGGCGTCTGTAACTAGAGTGAAAGACTGTTTAAAATTGGGTGATAACAATATGTTGTCACTTTGGAAAATTTCTTTGATTGTTCTCAGTGTATTTTCGCATTCATCCGTCCATACTATTTGTTTCTTGCTATCTTTATTTATTAGTTTCCTTAAGGGTAGTGTAACATCAGAAAATTTTGGAACAAAAGTGCTGTAAAAATTGCACAAACCTAAAATGGCTTTTACTTCTTTCTGAGTGTGTGGTGTTTTTATATTTAGTATTTTTCCTCTGTTGTGTTCTGTGGGCTGAATTGTGTTCTTACCGACTTTAAATCCTAAAAATTCAATGTCCTCTTGTGCAAACTTTAATTTGTTTGGTGCTATTGTAACTCCATGTGCTCTTAATTTGTTTAGTACTGTTTTTATAGTCTCTATATGTGTCTTCATATCCTTAGTGTGAATACAGATATCATCGACAAAATGTACGACATTTGGTATGCCTTCTAGCATGATTCGCATGAATCGAGAAAATGTTGCGGTGGAATTAACTAGACCAAATGGCATTACTGTCCATTCGAACAAGCCTTCCTCTGTGGCAAATGCAGTCAAAGGCATGGAATCCGGATGCATGCCTATTTGCCAGAATCCTCTGTTTAAATCTAAGTGGGTGAATAATGTGGAGGAGCCTATTTCTTCCAGTAGTTCTCTGGTGTCCCTCATGGGTTCTGCATCTAATTGTGTGATTTTATTTAACTCCCTATAGTCACAACATATACGGCACTGGCCATTTTTCTTTTTTACTACTACCATGGGTGATGCTATTGGTGAATCTGATCTTTTAATCTTGTTAGTCTGTATTAAATGATTTAGTTCTTTCTTTACTTCTTCCCTAAATGCATATGGAATTGGATAGATTTTGTGTTTGAATGTGGGTTCCTGTGTTAATATTATCTTGTGTTCTAAACTGCTAGTGTGTCCTATGTTCTCTGTGATGACATCTTTGTATTCTTTTAGAATTGTTGTTAAGTGTCTGTTTGTTGTGGTGTTATTTTCATTGTCTTCTAATTGTATAACACTAGCAACGGTGGCTGTGCTACTTATTTCATTACTGATGGTTTCTAACTCTTCAGGAACAGAGTCATATTTTCTGAGCAAGTCCACATGTAGGACTTTCAATTCACCCTTCATGTGAATTACATAATCAACTAAATTTAACTTGTCATGAATTGTAAACGGACCCTGCCAAATCTTTTGTCCATTATTGTTTGGCAACCATACCAAAACTTTATCATGTACTTTAAGATCTCTGAGGTATCTATGTGTATTCTTTATATGTCTTTGTCTTTTAGACTCCCTATCAGTGTTTTCTTTAGCATTTTCTATGCCATATGTAATCCTCTCTCTAATTTTTGTAATTATGTCAAATGTGTCTTGTTGTGTGCCTTTCTGGCCTAAAATATTTTCTTTAAAAAGAGTTAACGGTCCCTTTGGATTGGCCCCAAACATTAGCTCAAATGGAGAGTACCCAGTGGTGTCTTGTATACTCTCTCTATAGGCGAATAAAACCATGGGTATATATAGGTGCCATTCTCTAGGGTGGTCTATTGTTGTTTTATTTAACATTGTTTTTAGTGTTTTGTTCCATCGTTCTACCATACCATTAGCCTGTGGTCTATATATTGTGGAATGTACTTGTATTATACCTAGCATTTTTGTAACTGCATTGGTTAAGTTGGAAGTAAACTGTGTTCCATTATCTGACAATATTTTATCAGGGAACCCATGTCTTGTAAATACATCTAATAATGCCATGCAAATTGTTTCTGAATTAATGTTTTTGAGGGGAATTGCCTCTGGCCATCTAGATGCCATATCAATCATGGTTAAAATAAATTTGTGTCCCTTATTTGATGGTGGATTAAGAGGACCAATGATATCTATAGCTACCTTCTCAAAGTTTCTACCTATTTTGTCTGTGGGTTGTATGGGTGCTCTGTGTTTACTGTGTATTGGGTTTTTTGTCAGACATGGTATGCATTTGTTTATGTGTTTCTTTA